TCAGCCACGGTGCTCAGCCACGGGTGCTCAGCCACGGTGCTCAGCCACGGTGCTCAGCCATCTTTACCAGACATTCCCTCCAGCGCCCCACCTGGCGGCCAGAGAGTCTCGACCACCAGCGGCTCAGCCGGCTGGGCCCTCACCCCATCCTGGCTTCTTGGGGGGGCTTTCTTTGTTGGAATTTCAGGAGTGAGACATTGGATCAAAATCCCAGCGGTCGGCGCTGAGGGTGGTTTAGCGGGAAGTCTGGGCCCCACCAGCTGTGTGCCTCCATGGCCGGCACGTCCAGGAGGCAGTGTGGGGCTCTCTGTCCTGTGACGGCGGGCAGCGGCTGTACCCAGGGTGGGCCCCTGTGCGTCTTGCTGGAGAGCAGAGGGGACAGCCTAGGGGTCAGGCACAGCACCAGGCCTCAGAGGCAGTGCCCATCTGCCCTTGCAGACACAATGCCCTCGTCTTGTCCAGCACAGGACACCCAGATCCCTCTCACAGTGGCCACTCAGGCTGCAGATTCTCCTGAACAGAGCCCAGCAGGGCCAGGGGCCACTCCCAGGCTGGGCCTCAGAGCCCTGGGAGAGGGGAGTGGAGGGCAGTCTCTGGGGGCTCAGGACAAGCTGCTGGCCTCCTCTCTGGCCTCCTGAGGAAATGGGAGGACACCCCAGGGCATGCACTTGGGCCTCTTTCCTGGCAGAGGTATGAGGGGCCAGGAGGGGAGTGTTGAGAAGGACAATAGAGTCCCAGTGCCCACTGTGGGCCCAGGCTGCCTGGCTCTGCTGCCTGCTCCGAGTCCTTTAGACCCCTGAAGCCCTTGCCTGATGACCACCTTGCCTCTGGCCACATGGCAGCCATCCACCACTGGGGGCAGCCACGGGGCCCAACTGCCACCCTCATGGGCTTAATTCTTTCCAGGGTGAAGCTGGACCCCAAGGAGACCAAGGGAGAGAAGGCCCCGTGGGCATCCCTGGAGACCCGGTAGGGACCCCGCCCGCCAGCTCCACATGCCCCAGGCACCAGTGTGCTGGTACCTCCGCCACCGGGGGTGGGTCCCACTGGGCACCTCTACTGCCACGAGTGCCCGCAGAGCACGTTCCTCCCCATCAGCTGCAGGGGCAGCGTGGCCACCTGGACCAGCTGGGTGCTGATGGTGATGGAGGGACCCAGCTCCTGTGGCCTGTAACAGATGTGAACAGAGGCCCCCGGGCGCTGACCCCCTCACTGTGGGGAGAGGGTGCTCAGGGGAGCGGAGGGGGCACAGGGACCTGGCAGCAGCAGGGACAACCATTTTCTCCCACCCTGAGGACTGGTCACTGTGGCTTGGCAGCAGGTGCTGCTGGGGGTAGCCACTCTCCCTGGGACACCTGGAGGCCTCCAGGTTACCCTGACAACAAGCATCTGGGCTGCTGGCAGTTTGCTTGGTGGACAGAGGAGCTTGCAGCCCGCTGGGGCCCCCAGTCCATGGTGAAAGAGGTGATGTGAGCAGGGCAGCTGCTCCAATGCTGGCCACTCCAGCAAGAGCAGGCCCAGGCTGGGGAGGCGTGAGGGCCGCTGGCCCAAGTGGCGCTTGCGTCTCCAAGCGGGGAGGCTCCGTGCTGCCGTGGCCCCGGAGGAGGAAGTTCTGGGAAACGGTGCTTCCTCAGGTCCAAGGAGAGCAGCCAGGAACCCAGAGCACGCGGGAAGCACCACCCCTCTCTCGGGGCCTTGCCGGCCTCCCCTGCCCGCGCCCCACCCACCCATGGAGGCCTTGTCCCTGCTCCACCAGGAGCAGGCTGCCAACAGGACTGGTGGGGCCTTTGGGTGCCCCAGAGGTGCCCACCAATGAGTCACCTGCTCCCTGAAAACTGCGAGTATCGAGTTTCTCGTGGGGACAGTGGCACCCACCAGAACAGGCCTCCTGCTCCCCACTGGCTGGGCCCAGGGCCTCCTCTGCACCCTCTCACCTGTCCCCTCCCACATGCCAAGGCCGGATCTCGTCCACTGTGAGCCCAAACTGAAGGTCTGCTGGCCCTCCACAAGGCCGGGTGCAGCCTGCTGACAGTGCCATGCTGACACCATGCAGGGGCAGCAGCTGGCCAGGCCCAGCTGTGTGCATGGTCAGGGTGGGGACCATGTCAAGGCCAGTGGCTCCTGCTACCAGCAGAGGTCCAGAGACCCACGGCTCAGGGAAAGGCCATGCAGGAGCCAGTGTGGCACCAGCACAAGGCTGGCCCAACAGGGCCTCCTTGGGGGACACCTGATGTGGCCAGCACAGAGGGCAGACCCATGACCAGCCCGGTGGGCTCCTGTGCTTCCTCTGGCCTGGCTGCAGTGTCAGGTGCTCAGGGCACTGAGACTCACCCTGGGGGCTGCGGCAGGAGCAGGCTGCAGAGCCGGGGTCCAGGGTGGGCTCAGGGTGGCAAGGCCTTGGGCAGCTCTGGAGACCCTGCCCCAGGCCAGCGCTGGGGCTTCAGGGATGCATGGGAACCTGGGCAGGGCGGGTCCTGCATTTCAGGCAGAGACCCAAGCTGTCCCCACCCTTGTGTTTGGGGGTCTAGAGATCAAGGGGCTGGAAACTTGAGAGGGCAGGGCCATCCGAGGTGGTGGGTATAGGACCCTTCCAGCCAGAACTGCCTCTGTGGCCAGCCAGAGCCTGAGAGTCACCCTCTGCTCTGGCCTGCAGAGGCCCCAGAGGAGGGCCGCCCGGGGGGCTGAACAGAGACAGGGGGAGCCTTGGCGGGCAGCCTGACCTGACCACATCCCAGTATCAGCACCAAAATCCCCACCTGTGGAGGCGCCCAAGGGTCTGGGTGTCTCCCCTCAGGGTGGGACCTGGATCCTCCATGTGCTGATGGTGCCTCGCGGTCACATGAGGAAGGCCAGGGAGGGGCTGGGCCTGGGCAGCGAGCGTGGGGTCCCATGGTGTCTCCATCTCTCAGGGTGAGGCTGGCCCCATTGGACCTAAAGGATACCGAGGTGACGAGGGTCCCCCAGGGTCTGAGGTGAGTACCTGCCCCACCCAGAGGAGCCAGCCCCAAGTGTCCACCCAACGCCAGTCCCTCAAGCTTAGGACAGCCTGGCCAGGGGGACTTTGCTCCTGTTGTGCCCCGACCCTGGTTCCCTCGGGGGTGCTCTGCTCTGGACCTGCATTGTGTGACCTGGCTGTCACCCTCCCTCTCCTTAGGGTCTCAGAGGAGCCCCAGGACCCGCTGGCCCCCCTGGAGACCCGGGGCTGATGGGCCAAAGGGTGAGTGTCAAGAGCACAGCCGTGTGGGCTGCTGTCCAGGCGTCCAGAAGCCCTGGAGGCCCCAGCCCTGGCCTGAGTTATCTCTGGGGAAGGGCTTGACCCTGGGGGTTTGTGACCGACAGGAGGCGTCCAAATTGGCTCCCAGTGTGAGGACCTCAGCCAGTCCTGGGGGGGGACGGACCTCCTGGGGAGGGAGCCCCCGCAGGCTGGCAGGAGGGCGCTGGGGACCCGCCGTGCTCCCTGCCGGCCACAGAGACAGTGCAGGTGCTCTGCCCCCAGGGTGAAGACGGCCCCCCTGGAAACGGCACCGAGGGCTTCCCTGGCTTCCCCGTAAGTGCCCAGGCCACCCCAAAGCCCCCGGCTGCCTCTGCGCCTGGCCCTGGCCCTCCGGCTGGCTGGGGAATTCGGGAGCAGGGCCTCTGCTGGGCCTGGACCCCGTCCCCCTGCGATGGCCTGGGTGGCCTCCCTCCTGTGTGCGAACCCGTGTGACTGTCTCCCATCGTCTCCACAGGGCTATCCAGGCAGCAGGGGCCCCCCTGGGCTGAACGTGAGTACCCCCACCGGGTCCAGGGCTGTGTGACGCAGGCAGCCTGACAAACGTGCGCCCCCCACGCACGCATCCCCACGGGGCACGTGTGTGCTTGCACGCACACGCCTGGTGGCCCCAGGGACATCCAGCCGTGCCCACACCCTCCCGTCCCCCACCAAGATGCTGCTAACCTGAGTGTTGTCCCCTGCAGGGCACCAAAGGCTACCCCGGCCTCAAGGGGGACGAAGGTGAAGCTGGGGACCCTGGCGAGGATGTAAGTGGGGTGAGCCCTCAGGGGTCTGGGTGGGCCATGGGCCATGCGCCTGGGGATGCACCTGGCCTCGACTGACCACCCCCTTCCCTCCAGAACAATGACATGGCACCTCGTGGCGTCAAAGGGGCAAAGGGGCACCGAGGCCCCGAGGGCCCGCAGGTGGGTGACGCGCAGGGGACTGCTGAGAGAAGGGGCAGGGAGCCCGGCGGGGTCTGGGGAGTAAGTGGGAGGCCTGGGAAGCTCTGTGAACCTGTGGCTCGTTGGGGAGGGATGGTCACCAGGATCAGGGCACTATCCCAGGGCAGCACAGCCATGTCCAGGAGGGCGTGGGCACCCTGAGGCGGGGACCAGGTGAATCTGGACCTGCAGGAAGCATTCCCTGCCAGGCAAACCCTGTGGGCGGCTGGACCACAGCAGGAGGAGGTGGAGCTGAGAAGTCCTGACCAGGCAGCTTGCGGGGCCAGCAGTGGGCAGTGGTTCCCCGCAGGACTCGTGGACGCCCTGGCAGGCACCTCCCCGTCAAAGCCCTCTTCTATCTGCCCCCACAGGGACCTCCAGGAAGCACAGGACCACCCGGGCCAGACGTAAGTGGGGACTCCGCGGCTGTCCTCTGAGCCTGACCACTGCACACCAGGGGCTGTCGTAGGGTCATGATCACTGTACACATGGGCTGTGGGAGCTGGCCCCATATGACGCCACAGGGGGTGCTCGGTGGCCATGAGGGAAGTGTGACCAGGGGATTTGTGATGGTCTGGGGGACATGTGGTGGTCATGTGTTGGTGACCATGTCCAGTGCCATGTCAATGCCTGCCCAGAGCAGGCACCTGGGACATGAGAACCCTTGTCCAGAACCAGGGGACTATCCCAGGGCAGCAGAGCCATATCCAGGATGGCGTGGGCACCCTGAGGTCTGGGGTGACCAGGATGCCCCAACCCAGAGCTGCCCACCGTCCCCTCTCCCCCAGGAATGTGAGATTTTGGACATCATCATGAAAATGTGCTGTGAGTACCTTGGAATGACCGTCCTAATGAGAACATGTTCCCGCCAGCCCAGTGCCCGCCGCTGCACTCCAGAGGGGTCTCTGACCCAGGGAGGGGCAGGGTGGGCAGGCGGGTGGGGCCCTGGGCAGCAGTGGGCAGTCCTGCCTCCTGTAACCTCGCCTCTTCTTCCAGCCTGCTGCGGTGAGTGCCACTTCGCCCCCCACTAGGGTAACTCAAGGGCTTCTGCTGGCGATGGAACAAGCCCCATCTGCAGCCACGGAGCCGTGACCACACCTGCCCACCCATCCCCTCCCGAGGGCCACCGCAGCCTGCACCCTTGTGGGTGCTGCGGTCCCCCCCACTCTTTCCCAGCAGCTCCAGATACCCTGGGCAGCCTGGGGCAGGAACCCACCCCCTGTCCTGCCCTTTCTCCCCATGGGATCTGGGATCCAGTGGGGGACAGGGGCAGGGAGCAGCCTGGCGAGCGAGGCCCCTGCTGAGGAGCCGCAGGAAGGGCCAGCAGGACCTCAGTGTTGGGAGAGGTCCTGGCTGACCCCCACCCGCCCCCAGAGTGCAAGTGTGGCCCCATCGACATCCTCTTCGTGCTGGACAGCTCCGAGAGCATCGGCCTGCAGAACTTTGAGATCGCGAAGGACTTCATCATCAAGGTCATTGACCGGCTGAGCAGGGACGAGCTGGTCAAGGTGAGGCCTGCAGCCCCTGCTGAGGCACCCCGAGGGCTGGACGGTCCTGATCTCGCTGCGCAGGAAGCGCACCCAGCGTCCCACCAGCCAGGCCCGCCAGCCCCATCAGGTGCTGCGCTCCATGCTCTTGGGGCCTGGCCTGAGCTCGGGGGCTCCCAGAGCCCCACCCTCAAGGGTGATGGTGGGAGGGCTGCATGCTGGGCCTGCATGGGCCCTGTGAGCCGGGCTGGCCCCCGGAGGGACAGTGCCAGGCATGGGGGCGGGCTCCCAGCTGCCGCCTGGTCCTCCCGCAGTTTGAGCCCGGGCAGTCGCACGCTGGCGTCGTGCAGTACAGCCACAACCAGATGCAGGAGCATGTGGACCTGCGCAGCCCCAACATCCGCAATGCCCAGGAGTTCAAGGAGTGAGTGGGGCCAGGCCTCCCAGCCCCCGGCCCAGTCCCCCCAGCCCCCTGGCCCAGTCCCCCCCGACCCGGCCTGGCCCGGCCTGACCCAGCCTGGCCCTCTTCTCCGGCAGAGCCGTCAAGAAGCTGCAGTGGATGGCGGGTGGCACCTTTACAGGCGAGGCCCTGCAGTACACCCGGGACCGGCTGCTGCCGCCCACCCAGAATGACCGCATTGCCCTGGTCATCACTGATGGACGCTCGGACACCCAGAGGGATACCACTCCACTCAGCGTGCTCTGTGGCCCCGACATCCAGGTGGGCAGGCACCCCGCCACAGCGCCACTTGGGAGTGTGCTGCCACCTGGGCTCCTCCCTGGGGGGGAGAGCCACTGAGCCGTGCCCGCCCTGTTCCGTCCTCAGGTGGTCTCTGTGGGCATCAAGGACGTGTTTGGCTTTGTTGCGAGCTCTGACCAGCTCAACGTCATTTCCTGCCAAGGGCTGTCGTCCCCGGGCCGGCCGGGCATCTCCCTGGAGAAGGAGAACTATGCAGAGCTGCTGGATGATGCCTTCCTGAAGAACATCACGGCCCAGATATGCATAGGTGGGAGAGGCTGGCTCAGACCCTGCCGTGCAGGAGGCAGTAGGGCAGGGGCTCATGGAGGCCGCGCTCAGCAGACAGACTGCCTGTGCAGACTGGGCCTTCCTGCACAGGCACCTGGCCAGCAGCCCGGCAGGGAGCCCTGCCTGCAGGCCCTGCTGCCCCTTTGAGCTGCAGTGTCCCCATGCTCAGGAGGAGTGAGGCTCTGCTCCCGCCCTCTGTGGGGGAGTGAGGGCCAGGAAGGGAGCCTGGGGACCCTCTGCCACTCCCGAGTCAGGGACCCGCCCTCCTGGAGGAACCCAGCCTGGGTGGGTATGGGTCGTGGGGTCGGAGGTCCATGTGTGTGGGGTCTTCTCTTTGCAGACAAGAAGTGTCCAGACTACACCTGCCCAGGTCAGTAGCAGGGCTGGTGTGGGGGAGGGCAGGGTGCCTAGAGGCTCAGCACCCTGTGGCCCGCCCGCGTAGCTGTCGGGGCCTCGTGTTCACGGCTGCCTTCCCCCGCCCCACAGTCACCTTCTCCGCCCCGGCCGACATCACCATCCTGCTGGACGGCTCGGCCAGCGTGGGCCGCCACAACTTCGACACCACCAGGCACTTCGCCAAGCGCCTGGCAGAGCGCTTCCTGTCCGCCGGCCGGGCGGACCCCTCGCAGGACGTGCGGGTGGCGGTGGTACAGTACAGCGGCCCTGGCCAGCAGAGGCCTGGGCGGGGCGCACTGCAGTTTCTGCAGAACTACACCGTGCTGGCCAGCGTGGTGGACAGCATGGATTTCTTCAATGATGCCACCGACGTCAACGATGCCCTGAGCTATGTCACACGCTTCTACCGGGAGGCCTCCTCAGGAGCCGCCAAGAAGAAGGTGCTGCTGTTCTCGGACGGCAACTCGCAGGGGGCCACGGCGGCGGCCATCGAGAAGGCCGTGCAAGAGGCCCAGCGGGCGGGCATTGAGGTCTTTGTGGTGGTGGTGGGTCACCAGGTGAATGAGCCCCACATCCGCGTGCTGGTCACTGGCAAGACAGCCGAGTACGACGTGGCCTTCGGAGAGCGCCACCTGTTTCGCGTGCCCAGCTACCAGGCCCTGCTGCGTGGTGTCTTCTACCAGACAGTGTCTAGGAAGGTGGCGCAGGGCTAGGGCACGGGCACGGCAGGCCTCTCCGCATGCCCCGCAGAGCCAGCAGGAAGAGCCGGACCGAGTTATCCTGGCCACCACAGGGAGACGTCCAAGGGAGAGGGGGCTCTGCCATCACCGGGCCCCCGAGCTTTGCTGGGCCTCCACAGCTTGCCCCGGGCTGGCGCCTGGTCACCCCCTCCCTCGGCCTCACAGGCCTCCCTTCCCCTCCTGGCTGTGTCCGTCCCGCTCGCCTCCTTCCTCCCCAGATGACCGCTGGTGTCCTCTAAGTCCCGCAGAAGGTCTTCTTCCGCCCGCACCCACACTCGGTCCTGGGTGGCCCTGCTCCTCGCCCCGGGGGGGTGTTGCACTGTGACTTCCTTCTGGAAACTGAGCTCCAGATTTTCCAGCACCACCCCCAAGGGGTCGCCTCCCACTAACCAGGTGCCCCAGTGACCCTTGCAGACCTCGGCCCTGGCCCTTGGGCCGTGAAGCTCAGGACAGCAAAGCACTGAGCTGTTCTGAGGACAGAGGTGCTGCTTGCCAGGGCCCCACGGAGCAGAGCCTGGTCGAGCTGAGGAGTGCCCCAAGGACAGCCCAGGCCCTCCTCAGTCATGCTGCACCGGTGGCCTGTCCCCCCTCAGCTGGCCTGTCCTTTTCCTGTTTCCCTTGGCCCTGCCCAAGGCCATGATCTCTGCTAATAAAGGTCTCCACTCCTCTCTGGCTCTTCCCTGCTGGACTGTACTTCGAAGGCCTCTAGGCTGGGAGGTGCTGCCCTCGGTGGGACAACACCGTAACACTGCCCGTGGCGCCTAGGGAGATGTGACAGTGCTCTCAGCCCATTTTCAGGCAGAGGTGGGGGAGGCCCAGCATCCAGGCTCAGGGTCGGGGACCAGGTCTCCACAGGTGGGTGCAACCACATTCTACAGATCCAACCCCAGAGTGGTCAGCTTCTGCCCTGCTCTCTGGAAGGAATCGGAGTCTGGGGCCTGGGAAAGAGACAGGGAGGTCCCCCAGGAGGTCCCCAGGATGAAACACGGTGATCTCCAGGAGGCCTCTGCCCTGGGCCACTGCACAAGAAGGGAGGCCATGCAGAGGCAGGCCTGGCCCCGGGTCCAAGGAAGACGCTGCAGGAATTATAGTCCCAGGGTCCCTTTGCTTAGGCTCCCTCCAGGGCCTTGGGGCAGGAGAGGAGGCAGGGACAGTGGGTCAAGGGGCAGGAGGCAGGGAGCCCCTAGCCCGAGGGCCTCACTGCATGGCCAGGACTTTCCTACAGGGGGGAATAAGCCCTGGGGTTAGATTTCAGGGACAGAGAGAGCATACAGTCAGGGCAGCCAGAGGAGCTGCTTCAGGCCCATGGCCCGCCCCACCCCAACCCCTTCCTCAGTTCCCCTAACCATAAACTGGGCTGATAACACAATAGCATCCACTGAGAGGCCCATGAGTGTCCCAAGGACACTCACCAGGCAGACAGCCTGGGACAAGGCTCTCGGCCATCTGGACATGCCCACTGTGGCCAACAGCCCCAGGTAGGAGCTAAAAAGGAGACCAGAGGCTACTGTGAGTGGCCACTTTAGGGACGGAAGTTCTGGCCCTGAAGGAGGGCAGGGCTCCAGACTCTCTTCTCAGTGCTCTCTGAAGAGACCCCCTGCCCTGCTGTCCAGGCCCCTTCTGGTCACCCACAGATCTATTTGATGCACCCCCATGGCATCTTTGTCTCAGGATCCCCCACTCCTGAATGCCCAAGCAGCCACCAGGAACCCCAGACACGAGGGACTGTAGGGCCACCAGGGCCAGATGACCACACAGACCCCACTGGGCACCCAGGGGAAGGGCCTGTCCTCCATGGGCCTCACACTTCTCATGGCAGCTGACTCTATCCTCAAAGGGATCGGGGCCCTCAAGGGTCCCACACACAGCAGGAGATGTCATGGCATGCCTTTAACTGCAGCCTTAAGGACTGGGACCATCTATGTGAGACACCACTGGAAACCACAGCAGATCCATAAAAACCCAGTTCTGTCAGGAGCGGATGAAACACCGGGATCTCCATCCAGAGTTGATAGGCGGACAGGAAGAGGACATAATCCTCTCTCTAGAAAGTTGGCACAACTGAGAGTCCACCAGGGACTAAGCAGAATGTAGCAGAGAGCAGATGGCACACCACAAGCAGCTGGCCTCTCTAGGGCACTCTTAAGCCTTTGACTCTGTGAACCAGGTTGACATTTTATACATTTGAGCAGTTAAATTAAAAGACAAAAATGCCTTAACTGGAAAATGAGCTATGAAAAAGCCAGTCCAACTGCAGATCCTGCAGACAGTGGGACATGGGGCAGGAGACAGAGATGCTCCTATCCCGAGGGCGAATACAAAATATAAAGCTCCAGTACCTGAGACACTGCTACCACCATCACTGTAGGTCCTCTAGACAGCCCAACCCCACCAAGATGGAGCTCTAGTCCTGGGACACTGCTATCACCATTGATGCAGTTCCTACAGAAAGCCTAACTCCACCAATATAGAGCTCCAGCACTGGGACACT